TTATTGTTCTTCAAGCCAACCTCAGCCTGAAAACAAGTTAACCTTCAGACATCCTCAGCATCAGTTCGACGGCTAACAACTTGGTTAACCGGTTTCAAAATATTGTACAATTATATTAGTTTTGCAAGATGTCATTGGGTTTCGGTGAAAGGAAATGACTTGAGAGATGCTGGAGTTGTCTTTACTTTCACGTTAACTTGGCAGTCACAGAATCAACAGGTTTGGGTTAGGTTGGAAGATTCATAATGTGTTGATTGAAGGCGTTTCTAATTTTACGTTCGCATGTTAAATTGTCGAGTAATGAATAAGCTGTGCATTAACTGTCCTTTTTTCCTTCCTTAGGCCAAACGGTGACTGGTTTGATTGAAACCACAGTTAATAGACTACTCTGATCTTGACAGATAAATTTGGAAATTTCGTCTCTGGGACAGAACTGGCCGACGTTTCAAATGCGTTGCAGCATCCATCTTCAGGGCAAGACACAATTAAACTGAACTTCTTCAAACGGCATCACTGTATGAAAGCGAGAGTTTTGATATGTTTATGACATTTATTAGAATTGACACATAGTTCAAAACATAGCTACAATTTATGAATTTTGTTGAAAAACTCTGCACTGTATTAACATATTTTAAAACTTTAAAGGGGCCGACGATTTTCCAAAATTACAATTTCGATGGAAAACAAGCAAGTTAAAATGTTATGTGCCTTTCTACGTTTTAGAACAGTCTATATTCAGATTACGAATGCAAAGCTTACACAGTCTCACCCAAAGTAGTCTACTCGACATTCTTCGCCTCAAAAGGCAACATCGACAACTGGCAGCTACAGTCGGTCTCCGTGCATTGACATCTAGAACACCTGGATTCTGGATCCATTTTAATTCCAGTCTTATCGTTCAATCCGTGATCTGTATAGTAATTTTCACAATCATTTTGCTAAGAATTATTAAATATGCAAAGGTATAATTTGCGGCGCCGGTGGCTTTGCGCCCGCGGCGCAGTTGCGTGTGGCAGCTGCTGCGAATACGGCGCAATAGTGCGGCTCTCACTGACTACTATAGACTGACATACTGAAATATTGATCATTTTGTGTTGTGTGCTCTGGTGGATTATCTTTGATGGAATATTATGTGGATTATGATGATAATCTGAATAATTGATTATGTCGTTACCGTCGCGGTAACTTAGGTTTATTTCACTTATGATGTTAAATACTGTAGAAAGGAATTATTCTCAAATTGATATAATTTCTTGTACCTACATTTATCAGTATCAGCCATAGTGTAAATATAGCTTTACTATGTATTTTAGTAGTGGTGAATATTTAAATTCTAGTATAGCTCTGATTTGATATATCATGTCGAAAGGCTTGTCATTCGATAGCGCTTGTGTTTTTTGTTCGTGGAGTCACTCAAGTATAACTTTTTGTGGTCTGTCTTGACTGAATTATGAGGACTAGGAAGAGAAGCTCAACACTTATTGATGGGACTAGTTGTGAATCTAGCGGACGTAGAAACTCGTGGCATTTCGTTGAATTTTATGTGGGACGGACTAAAACCCAAAACCCGTAAACATAGTGGGGTTTGTTGTGAATTGAACCCGCAACTATCACAAATGGACTGATTTTTCTGTAGAACATTTTGCCTGAATTTTTCTAGAAACCTTTATTTAGTGATTCGTTTAAGTTTTCTACTATTCCAAGAAGAATATAATTCCAATCGCTCTTTAAACAGAGAGATCCTTTTTAAGGCCAGCACTCTAGCGTGAAACATAAAACAAACTAAACGTCTGCTACTACTTTTGATTGACTAACTTTTGCACTTGCATCGAATAATTTCCCGATAACAGTTAACTTTCTGAGCGAATTTCTCGGTTCTTGCGACGCCAACAAGGCCGACTAGTTTGAATAATAGCGATGATGTCATACATGGAAATATCAAGGTGGCAGTGGCTGCAGCCGGCTTTGATACTTGTCTTATATAATTAATCGTCGGCGACCTGACTACGCACCGACAATCGACACTGGGTGTGGGCGGAACAATCGTGTTGGACAAGAATTTTATAAGTATAAAAACAGTTTTGTCTGTAAATGCGTGAATGCATAAATCATTGGTCATTTTTACGCTGCGTAGACCGAGGAAACCGGAGTCTTAGCTCAACGTGTGATTTTCTCTAGTTTTCTCTAGTTCTCTAGAACGAAGTGCTCTAGTTTTCGAAAAACTAGAGCACTTCTCAATATTAATCTCTTTCCCTTGTTTTAATTAGTTTTTGGAGAGTATTAAACTATTTTAACCTTTAAACAGCCTAAATATTTAAACCTTTAATGTTGCAGAAATTACGCCGTTGCAAATAATTTGTTAAGGTACTTGGTAGCCACATTTACTCCGGGTGAAATATTATCTGTCGATAAATCGTCGTGCTCAACGTTATTTTCAAATCATAACATTCCAAAAACTTTTCTTCATGATATTATCGTTTACCTTTGCTTGATACTTATAATAACACAGAAGTAACCAAGGTTAAACTTAAAATTAGTTGGTTGACTTGAAATTAAAACCAGAAGATTGCCAGTAGTCTTCGTATTATTTTGTAAAATCGTAAAATAATAAGATTTTCCTACTCATGTTGGTAACGTTCAGGCCAATCTAAGACGAGTGTTATTGCGCATTATTCTTCTTTGGCGTCGACTCAATTTTTCTCTTTTAGGGCAGTCTTTACGATTTGTGCGAACCTTCATGGAGCGCGTTCAAGTCACTTCTTTTTCTCGCAATAACCCGACATTGAAATGAACAGATTCTTCAATGTCAACAGAACCGACAATGAAAGTGAAAAGTTATTATAGTTTGAGAAATGTTTATACTAAAAACTGACAAGTTGCGTTTCCTTATGTTTATTTGTAAAGGATGCGTAGACCCAAAACTTGTTACAACTATTTTCAAGAAATTAGAATTATTTATTTAACAGCTACAACTAGTGAAGGTTTGGGAAATTTGTGACTTTCTTTGGTGAAATGTATTGATTTGTCCATGGACATTTTTACTTTTAATGTAAAAGATTATAAAATAAAACTCTTCTCAGGAATACAGTAATTTTGTAGTAATTATAGTATGTAAAAAGTATTTTGATTTACTTGTAGGCCTACATACTATAAAATTATTACAAAATTACTTTATTCGTGCGCAAAGTTTTATTTTCAATTTTTTTACATTAAAAGTCAATAAATAAAGATTGAGTTCGGGAAAGATAATGCAGTTCAACAATTTAACATTCGCAAATATTCTAAGACGATAAAATATTCTAAGGAGGAATAAAATCAAACAAAACCTTACATTGAAAAAATCTTGTAGTAGTTAAACACAACAACACACACGTTAGGCTATAAATAAATCATCAATGAGCAAACATTAATTGACATTCAAAAGATGTGAAATATCTCGAAATACCTAGATAATTTACTTCAATTATTTATTGAACATATCGTGTGTCACAGCCGCATTAGGTCAGAACAGAACTCATAAACCAAAAGTGCATCGAAGGAATAAAAAAGCATCATATTTGTCACAAAAGCGTTTAGCTTACTGGTGGTTTTGATGAAATAAACCCTCTGGTTTGAGCAAACACTACTTTTAGAGTACGTTAATGATTAACCCCCCCCAATCCAAAGAGCTAAATCTCATGCTTTTATGAACAATATCATATTTGATGTGGATGTTCGAACGAAATGTATTTAAAACTAGGTGATGAATAAATAATATGGTCGTAATGTTAGCAATAGATAATTTGGGAGCAAACAAATTTATTACAGGAGACGTTGAATGTGGCTGAATAAACAATTTTGATAACTCCATTGGACTTATGGAGTTTTGGATCGGAAAACTACAGGAGCAGAAATAGATTTGATAAACGTATATCTTATTTGTGTTTGGTTGCATAATTTTACATTACAGAGTTGTTATTATTTCAGCAATCAAATGTCTATGGATTGTAATAAAAATGTTTTTGTGTAAATTATAAAATGTGTCGTCAATTATATTATGTGTTTACGATATTGTTTTAACGATTAAACCAAATTAACCACAACCGAGCAAGGCTCGGCCCCCCGGTACTATTTACTTAAATGAATAAATCCAGGAATCACACGGCAGACGATTACGACGTTTTGAAATAAATACCAGGATATAAAAATGTGAAGTAAATATTGAATATTCTTACTTAGATTATACAATTCACCAAAATGCTTGATTTTTTCATATTTACGTACAGTATAATCTAAATTAAAAACTCTTGCCAGTTTACTCTCAAAATTTATTTAAATGAACTAATTCAGACATGGAAATATACTAGTTGATTACGATTGTTGATGAATTCCAAAACATTATAAGGATGCGAGAAGTGCTCGACGTTCTTCCACGGATTATAAAATTGTCAAACAGTAGCCTATAAGTCGTTAAGATAATTATACGCGTGTAAAACTGAAATCAAAATAAAACTAGTTTACGTGAATTATTTACGGATTATTAATAATTAATATACGTGGATGTTTACTAAACTTAAACGAACAAATCCAGGAATGAGAGAACAAGCTGATTGTGAAATTTTGGAATGCATTCCAGAACATGTGCGTGAAAGAATGAGAAGTAAACATACTATGTTTTTCCTCGTTAGGTTAAAATTCACAAAACATAGTTTAGCAAAGGTATTTAGGTACTGTGCGAATAACCTTACGAAGGATCTAGTTTCTAGAGGAAGTGGACGTTTAACGCAAATATAATCACTTATGTTTCACTTTATCGCGAATCAAACAAAACATAAATACACTTCGACTTCATCTCTTGAAGTTTTCACGGATGAAGTTGAAGAGATGTTGAAAGCTCAGAGATGCGTTTTGTCGAAGAGAGAGCTGAGAGCGGCTGCAGAGAGAGTTGGTCCACAGATCAGGTGTTTCTACAGCATATATGGAAATGCAGACAAACGCGAGTATGACGTCATGCAGCTTACCTGCTGTGTAGGGGGTCCTCCTAGCTGCGCTCATGTACACAGACTGGGGGACCGCGCTGGGCCCCCGACCCCCCTCCCACGGGGGGGCTAGGGGGGAGAACAGGTCCATGCTGGACTACATTTCGCGACCGTAACGGTCCTCCGCCGCTGTCCGGTAGTAACCAATATTATATGCATATGTCCATGATAACCTGAGGTAATTTGAGGTTCGAAAATACTGTATCAAATTCGTGTACCAACTGTGATATTATCGGTAGATTTCATCGGGGCTCACTTGAAGGAGAAGCACTGTGGGACGGCTCAGGGACCGCCTGGATTCTAGGGAAATTGTTTATAGTTTCCAACTATGTTTAATAAGAGTTATGCTGATTGACAATCTTTAACTTTTTTGTTGCGATAAACAATGTTTTGAACAGAATGACGTAAAAGGATGATGGAGGAAGAACAGCTTCTGGCATGTTTCAGTTCTAAAATCTAAATTCCAGAAATGAAGCACTGGATTTGGCTATGGATTAAACATACAAGTCTCTCGAAAATTTATCATCCTTTTAGAACAGCTGCAAACAATTTTAAGGTTAATTGTGTCATATGATAAGAGGGTGGTGTTTGAACTGTTTCTAATACCATACAACTATTTTAATGGAATAAAACTGTCTGATTATTAAATACCCCCGCCGCAGCAAACCTGCAGACTAAGCGAATTTCAACTTGTCTGATTACATTTTTACTCAAATATTTACATAAGACATATTTATTCCCTATTTAAATAACATTAGATTTAACGAGTGCTTAGGTTTGCTGCTACGGGGAAGGTAAAAAGTGTTTTTGACCATACGTCAATAGTATAGGATGAAATAAATAAATTTGCCAAATTTTATCAATATGAATAATGAATAATGAATATGAATAATGAAGTTTATTTCCCACAAAAAACCACAATGTAACAATACATGAGATGTAGAGAAATAGAACTGGCTACTTGATCCAGTAGTGTAACCAGTTTGCTTATACTAACTTATAGGCTAACATGACGTTGTAATTTATGGTCTAGCATCTGTTATAAAACATTGAATTCCGCCTGAACTGTGCATCTGATGGACAAAACAAGAACTGTTTTAATAAACAATGAAAGTTATTACAACAGGATATTATTTATATAATTTATGTCCTGCTGAGAAGAAAGCCAAATTATCGTTGCTTTGCTAAACTGCTTTAAATTTAAACTATTCTTTATTTGAAGTGGTAGATAATTATAGTATTTTGGACCTAGATATTGAAAAGAGTGACGAAAAATAGCTTTATTTACTTTGGGTAGTTTCAGAGTATTATTGGTAATGCTTCTTGTTATGTATGTGTGTGTAATATTTGGTATGACGTTAACTCTGTTTCCACTTCGAACAAAAAACAGTCTAAGAATTTAAAATAAAATTAAATAAAAATTAAATATTGAATTAAATTGTATATTGGTTTTAAAATTAAATATATATATTAATATATATCCATGACCAAGTAAACTACAACAATTTAAATTTTCTTCATAAGAATAACATGGCAATTTTAAATTACACTATTTTTTGAATTTTCTCCGTGACCGTTAGGCATACAACAACGCTTCAATATACCAAATTATTTATTTTTTTAAGCTCTACAAAACGGATTTAAAAAAAAAAAATTGCAATTTTTTTGTTTTTAGGGTCAAAAATGGGACCCCCGTTCCCATGGTCCGATTATGCTGGTTCACGAACTCTTTCGATTAAACGTAGGTTTCCACGTTTGTACCAAATGTCATCAAAATGGATAATTTTTGCTCGAGTTATCGCGCTAACGGACATATATATATGAATTTGAACGTTGGTGTTTTTGGCCTCTATGGATCTCAAAACGAGAAATTAAATCGGTTCCGGGTCCAGGTCTTACCATGAGTACTACGGTAATAGCTTATTTCCCTATATGGGAAATTCGCTAAAACCACCGATTTTTATCTGAGTAGGCTAATAACGAAACCGTAACGAGCTATTCTCTAATAGTCAAACAAGCAAACAACCTGAACAAACATCTAACGTGACAAGCAATAACACAAGGCTCAGTACTCAGAACAATGTTTTTATCCTCAACCTTCAAACAATACGCTTGTATGAATTGCATGGATAGGATTGAGTAATACAACTTTAACTCATGATTAAAGTTCTGCTAATTTGAATTGTTTGACGTATACTTTGAAAATTATCAACTTCACACTAGGTTGATCTACTTATAAGCTAAATATAGTTTTTGAAATGTTTCAATGCAGATTTAAAAATTGATAGCCTACGGTTGGAAAATATATTAATCCAAACCGTGTCATCTACAATGTAGACGTCTCGAATTGAAGCTGCGCTGTTTCCCGACCTATGCTTATTTTTGACCACAGAACCTGGCCGTGAAGTATACTGATTAAATCTCACCATTAACAAATCGTTTGATCAGTCTTTCAGCCGCAGCTAACAAATTTGTTGGATTTTACATAGTGTTACCTAACGTAGTCTATCCAACCTAACTAATGGCACTTATTTTTGTGATTATCCACACCATTAGACACTTTTACGTGTAGCATATGCTGCAGGGAATGCAAACCCTTATTATTACCTAACGTCGACTGTTTGTTAGATAGTTTGGCGAATGAACAGAATTAAAGTTTTTAAAATGTTGAATTAACGATACCGAGCGAAGCTAACTTTGGAACGTTCGAAAGCGGTACGACCGAGAAGTCCTGCACCCAATCGGAGAGAAATGAATGAAATGCACCAGAACGACCACCTGAGGTCATTGGATTCCCACGGACGACTGTGACCTACTACTGCGTCCAGACGTCCACCAGGAGGTCAAGTGTCCGACAACTCGGGGTCCAACACAATCGTCGCAAAATCATGACAATACGGTTTGTAAAATTAAAACTCAATGTTTTCGTCATAGTGCACCTTTAAGCTAACTACTAAGCTACAATACGAATATACTTTTACTGTTAAAATAGCCCCTATAAACAACTTCCAACTTGTTTTCAATTTTGTCAATGCAAACAAACATATGTTTAGTAAGTGGTTTTTTCAAGTATTCGTGAGTGGTTCAAAAATTTTGTCTATTGCGATTGTGTTAGTGTATTCAAAATTACACTATCGATATGTTGAACTGTTGACAAGAATGCAAAAATGAGCTACAACACAACCAATGAAATCAATCGATACATAATTGCGATACATGCGATTGCTTATAGTCGAACTTCAAAACTGAGTTTACAACAGTTGACGTTTCCTCCCTAGGGACCAAAATAGCTACTTTAGACCCGCATCGCATGTATTTAAAACGGCAGTTTTTGCTGCAGTACGACGAAAAAATTGTCAATGGGCTATTGGTTTCACAAAGTTTGTCAATTGCAAATACAATTTTATGTTTTTGGGCGTTGTCACATATCACATTATTGGACTTGATCATTATGGCGCAGCAGTACAATTTGGCTATGTTTAGAAATATACATTCCATATCTATGTTAAAGTTGTGACCAGTTTAAAAATAAACGTTCTTGATTGAGCCATCGTCAGAGAACGGGCTGATGTAGGGGCCTAAATAATTACGGATTTCTGTTGAATACCTTCAACTTGTTAACCAGAAGCCAAAAGATGAACACTTATTTTGTGAAAAGTAACGTCTTTTATGTCACAATAACGAAAACCAAGGATGAAATGAAACAGTACTGTGGGTGGCTCATATGCGTCTTTTGAAAATGTGCTATATTTTTCACAATTCATTTGTACAGCTCCCATATAGATAACAACAAAAACGCACAAAACAAAAAGAATGGAAAAAAACTGGGAATAGTTTGTCTACAGATTGTCAATGATAGTATTTCAATCACAATTATACGCAGTAAATGCAGTAGAATGGTTATGTAATATTCCTTATGGTATGTTTCAAAATCATATACTGTAAAGGGATTTCCTTTAGCTGTAGAGTAGGCCTAAGCTACAGCTCACTCACGAGACTAAATATAAAATTCTGTGGAACGTTAACGACCATAACTTGTAACCAGAGTATAACTAAGATACTTTATAATTTGAACTGTACAAATAGTATTAATTCTTAAGTTTTTTGATTAGGGCAACATCTTAAAAAATATTTTAGAAACAAATTAGTAAATTTTGTAAACCTTTTTGAAAGAGAATTACGGCTTTTAGGCAGTCCAGCGTGTTTTCTCATCACTCCGTACCGAAAGTAGCTATTTTCGATAACACATAAAGTTGTTTCCCAAGCACTAATTTAGAGAGAGGGGAAACGATCAGCTGATTTTCCCTCTCTCTAAATTTACTTTCCCCCCTCTATCGATTGATTAGTTCTCCATTTAACCACTGTTTTGTTACGGTTTATTTTAATGATAAAAATCAGCTGATTTCATTGTTACATAATCTAAATGTATACAGAAACAGGCATTAGCTTGTTTTTCTGCGTTTTAGCATAGAACTTGTTTTAAATTGCTAATATATGTCTAACATTCCTGATGATTTGATGAAAAAACGCTTCAGAGAAAACTAAAGATATTCCACCAGAGAAATCAGGGGAGAGATATGAAGAGGGATACAGAAAATTTACGAACTGATAAAAATTACAAAATGTACGATATTGTACAGTAAAGTAAGTAGGCCAAACCGCCTAATTGACGAAGAATTTATATATTTATCTAAATTCGAATATTTATCTAAAACAATCTATAATCATGAAACCACGTACGTTGTAAAGCACGTATTATTGTTTTTGTTTCAATAATAAAGAATGGTCTAAACTATTTTATTATTATTAAGGTCTGTTAATCTGTATGTCTGTATTTTTTCATCGGGATGAAAAGTATCGTTCATAACTCGTAGCGAAAATACACTACACTATTTTGACGAACTTCCCACGCAAGGATTTAGTCCAGAAAATAGCTGTTTGCCGCCAGCTTATTCAAATGGGGTTTCATTGCGTACTGGTACTACCATAGACAAAAACTGTAATGGGTTTTACCGGGCACCCATCAGCTGATTATACTGTATTTAGGTGGCAAT